TCTCTCTCTCTCTCTCTCTCTCTGTCCCTGTGATAGTTATTGTGTATCTGTCTGTCGGTCTCAGTGTATGTGTCTATCTCTGTCTGTCTGTCTGTCTGTCTGTCTGTCTGTCTGTCTGTCTGTCTGTCTGTCTGTCTGTCGGTCTGTTTGTCTGCCTATGTCTTTCTCTCTCACTCACTCTCTCTCTCTCTATTTATCGATCTATCTATCTATCTGTCTATCTATCTATCTATCTATCTATCTATCTATCTATCTATCTATCTATCTATCTATCTATCTCTCCTTTTGGCATTACATAAATGAAAAAAGCGAAAAAAATAATTGTTTGAAAAAATGTCATGCTGCCTTAACATGTCTTTACTATCATAGTCCACATAGCACCGTGTGTTCAGCCAGTATCATGTTGTACTATGACACTATAACTCAAGTGACTCTTTCGAATCCTTATCTAACTGGACATTCATACATTTGTGGGTTCTGTGTTGGTTCTGATGTGGGTGGTTGGCGGGCGCTCAGTGCGGTTTGCTCCTTCTTTCCTATTAATTCCTTCATTGCTTGGCCCGAGATTGTCTCGGGCTCTCTGGTCGGACTAAAAGTAGAAGCGAATTCCCTGTGTCACATAAATACAATATGTTTGTATTACTAGTCGTAAAAAGCACATGATTCTATGTGCGTTATGTCCTTTTCAGTCTGTGCAAGGGTTTGGGGGAGGGGAGGGGGGAGAGATGGAGAAATACTCCTTACTTTGAACAACTTTAAATCCAACTCCAACCCCTCATCGCACTACCATACCCAACCCCTTCCCCTTCCCCTACCTCTACGGAACCCCCATACCCTTCTTCCTCTTCTTCCCTATACCCTTCTTTGTAAATGTATTCTCCTGTCTCAAAAAGAGTATTATTTGGTAGCTTTTAATGGGTTTTTTAGGGCCCTGAACACGATTTTGGCATTGAAAAACATAACAAATGGTTAGTTTAGGTTTTACAGTACAACATTTCAGACCCCCGCCCCACTACACAGCTATTACGTGCTCGCTCGTCAGGGGTA